AGGAGAGTCTGACTGTCATGGTTTGGAGTTTACTTCTGTTATTTATTTTGTGATACTCCTCTTCTTGTGTCTTGTTTAAATTTATTTCCTGTCTTTGTTTCCCCCCAGTTATGATTGTCTGTCCCAACCGGATTGTCTCTGTTATCCCTCCCCTCACCGGGGTATTTAGCCTTTGTGTTTCCTTGTTTCTGTGTCAGTTCATCCTGCTCGTTTGTCTGGTTATTTTTTGCTTCGTCCCTTGTTGCATTTGGCCCAGTACCTGTCTACCTACCTGTCTACCTACCTGTAGCTGCTGGTAAGCTCAGTTTATATTAAAATCACTGAATTCATCCTGCTGCCTGCAGCTGTCTTACATTTGGGTCCAATCCTGTTTTTCCTGAGTCACGGACACAGACAGCTACACTGAGCAGTGGTCAGTCTGTCACTCACTCTGGTCGGAGGCGACGCCCCCTACAGCACTTGTCCTGTGCAGTCCTCTGAATCACAGGACAAATATACAAATCCTTGTTCACTTTCGTTAACATTGCATGATAGGTAAATTGTAACTTAAATAAATTAAGTTAATTCATCGTAATCACAGTGTGCAGAAACTAAACACCTTAGTGGAGCTCTGTGCTCTCTTGTAGTTTGTAATATTATCATTAGTATTTGCTGTCCTAAAACTATTACTATTTAAAAATATTGAGTCTGGAATCAAACTTTTAAATACCCACCAAATGTTGGTATCCATATGGTGGACACTAATGTGTGTCGCCACAGGCCAGGGTGCGAGAAACTGGTCATTATAGTAAGGGGTGACATTATAAACTGGAAGTATTCAGTGATGGAGGAGATGAATAACTACAAAAACAACAGTGGCAAACATGTAAAGTGGGCATGGCTGACAAACTGGTGACAAAAACAGGTGACTGACAGCCCCATTATCAGACATTCTTCAGGATCTTTTCACCACTTTCCAGGTGTTCAAACAGCACAAAAAGGCAAAGAGCGAAACTATCTCAACCTGTTCAGAGAGACACAAGCTTCAATGGGGCCCTTCCTTATTCCTCTGGTGTCCATGGAAACAGAGGTGAGGTCAGCGGAGGTTGGGACCAATGGGAGCCAAGGACCGAGAGGATGAGAGGTCATGTGTGAACGGCACAAGAGGTCGGTCCCAAGTGTCTACAATGACGAACAGACACACACCAAACGCACATACAGAGTAATAAGTATTAGGTTTTAATAGAGCTGTACGGACCAGGCCTAGTTTAGGCTAATGAGGCCCCGGGGTTATCAGAGATTCACAGTAAGATACAGTTTCTGTGCCGTGTTACAAGGTAAAAGCAATATGACACATTCAAGTTTAAAAACTTTGGACTCACGTTTTGCAGAATCACACCTGCTGGATGCTTCTGGTTTCTTATGACATCGGTTTTACTAAGTTATCCTTCCTCTAGCTAACAAGAACATACTTACAAAGTAAGCAGCTGAGATCTGGGAATGTAGAAACACGGCTAAAAAGTCAAACAAGGACAAAACACAAACAGTCAGACTGGACAGATGTGCAGTCATCTTGCACAAAGTTTTTCTTTTATCCTCCAAGTTTAGATAATCTAGCTGAGCTGTCGCTTTTATGCTCAGTTTATTGAATTGCACTATAATAACTATATAGCATTTTATCCTCAAACTAATCAAAATGAACCTTTTCAGCCCAAAGCTAAAGATACACTCTGTCCAAAATGTCGGCTTTTCATGAGTTAAGAAAAAACAGCCCTGTGTTCAGCTTAGTATTTTATTAGTTCCACATATTAAACCTGGCACTAGTATCACTACTTGGTATCAGCAGACTCCCTAAGTTGAGGTATCAGAAAAAGTATTAGAGAGAAAAAGTCAGATCAGTGACATTCCTGCAGATCTCAGCAATTACTTCGGTGAGTAGGCTACAATTTTATCATGAAAGATAGATATAAGACATCAGTTGCAATAAACTGCGAAGAAGAATTAAATGTATGAGAAAACTTTCTTTACCGTCGTCCACAAATGCTGAGCCATTACTTCATGTTGCAAATTTTTTTCAACCCATCAGTCAGTGTCTAAATCTAACAGACTCGGCTCATACGTCTCATTCTCCCCAGTGTTCAAGGTAAAATGAGAGTTTGCTCCATTTGAAATATATTTACACACAGTGTCAGAGCATGCACAGCCACACATCTACTGGTGGACCTTCACAAAGTCGGTGTAGTCACCGCTGGATGTTCACACACACAGACACAATATACTGTACAAGGTGGGCACTGTAAAGTCACATCAGCATGCAGGGACATGCTGCACGTGTGTTGCCTGTAAAGCACTTTGGGACATGTTCTCTGATCCATGACAGAGTGAAGGACTGAGGCAGGGAGGGAAGGAGGGAGGGATTGAGCAGGAAAAAGGGCTGCAGACAAGCAGACAAAGACGTTTGTATGTGGTATGCATGTGTGTGTCTGACTCCACACGGGAAAATCCAGTCTCGTAAGCCGTTGTGATGGATGCAGCTTCACTGTAAATTAAATGTGATGTGGTCAAAATGTTTCGAGTGTATCAGTGTGCTGCCACTGAAGGCACAACACTTCCCTGTCAGCTCTACGTAGTGTTTTTAGCATCTTTCAGCTCATTTGTTTGGGTTTTACAGCCTGAAATGTTTCTGTTTCAGTTCATTTACTGTACACTACCTGCTCAGCACCAAACAGCAGACATACATAGTTAGCTACTAGCTGGTGAACATACTGGGACATTTAGCAGCTAAAGAGAAAGATATTTTACTATTTGGAGTCGGTGGAGACCAAAAACAGAGGTTAGAAGAGAGTGACTTAAATCCGGGAGGTGGCCAGAAACACAACTTTAAATGAATGTATCTGCTTGACATGAGGCATCTATGTTTGTTCAGTTTACAGGGGATTCTATTATTATTATTATTATTATATTAAAGAATCCCAGCCATTAGTGCTAATGTTAATGTTCTTTACAATTTGAAAACTGATAACTCTGATGACACACAGTATTTGTATATTTTCTCACAGATTTGAGTTCCAAGGTCAAGATTAAATTCTCATGCTCTGTCTGTGTCTGTAGAAACAAAGGGATATTAATGTGATGACTTTCAGTTAATCAGGGTCTGGCTTTAGTGCATACTGTGATCATCCCAAATGTCACTTTTCTCAAGATAATTACCATTGATTTTCATGCGTTTTTTTGAAAGATTACCACTTAGCCTATTAATTAAACGTTTGGCAGAGCTCCAAGGTTACAAACCACTGTGACAAGATCAACTAAATCAATTCAAAAAACACACACAAAACAGGCAACATGGAGCCTATTTTGTTTGTACAACAAAGTCCAATGAATTAATTAAAGTAAAAAAAAAAAAGTAATTTTGTTATGGCTCAGCGGTGAAAGTTGAGGTGCTGCTGCTCCGGTTATTATCGGTGGCACTGAGGCTGTGTGAGTGTGTGTGAGTGTAAGTGTGTGAGTGTAAGTGTGTGTGTGCGTGTGTGTGTGTGTGTGTCACCAGGGGAAAAAAAGAAAACATCAGACAGACCCCTGGAGCAGCTGTTGTCCCCAGTGTGTCCAATGTTACACACACAAACACACACAGATATGCAGTATTTTATTCTGCTTGCTCACAGAGTACCTACTTTCTTTACCAACCTTCACTCTGTACCTTTATGTTTTTCAGTTGTGTGCTTTAGTGTACACACACGCGCACGCACGCACGCACGCACGCACGCACGCACGCACACACACACACACACACACACACACACACACACACACACACACACACACACACACACACACACACACACACAAGAGAGAGAGAGAGAGAGAGAGAGAGAGAGAGAGAGAGAGATTGTTGCTGAACCTCACAGAAAGACAGAAAAAGTTTCATTCACCAGCAGAAGATAACATGTTAAAGATCGTCAGTCAGCACCTATACAGTAAAGTGTGTCAACACGTGTGGTTGAAGGGTTCGTGGTCATCATTGAGTGTTAAAATTAGGGCTTTGACACCTCCAGACAGCTCTGTGCATTAATTCAAACCACCACTCTCCACATCTGCTCTCAACTCTTACCAGGCCCACCCTCACCTCCACTACAGCTCATTAGAAATCCTCAAGGGACTGTGCTTAAATAGGTGTTCTTGAGGACCTCCGCTACCTCAAACACATCCACCAGATGTCTTCTTCTACAGTATAAATCTTCTCATCCCTCACTCCTCTTTAACCCTCGCCTTTCTGCCTCACCTCGTATCTCTGATTTGCTCTCTAGCTCTAGTCTTCTCCCTGGGGGTCAGACGGACAGATGCGCAGCCTTGTCCTCTCCTCCCCTCCCCTCCTCTCCACACACACACACACACACACACACACACACACACACACACACACACACACACACACACCACATTTCTGACCTCATTTCTCCAAGGAGGCCAGTTTAAGAGAGCCTATGAAAAGACAACAGCTGTAGAGTACAAACAGACACAAAGAAAGATGGGGGAGATCCTGGTCTCTTTTTAGAGAAAAAAACAACAGTTGGATCAAATTATTCTTCATGCATTAAGGTTGAAACTAATTATAACTTTTGTCAATTAATCTTACAACAATTTTTTCTATAAAATGGAAAAAAGCTAAAAATGCCCATTGTAATTAATGGTGACGTATTCAGTTTTCTTACAGTCTAAAACCAAAAAGATATTCACTTTACTATCATCGAAGACTAATAAAAGCTCAAAATTGTGAGATTTGAGAAGCTGAAACCAGGTAATATATGTCATTTTGCTTTAAAACACCTGGAATGATGAGTTAATTTTTAGAACAGTAAATGTGTAAATTAATGTGTGTTGGTGTACTATCGTCCACATCATCCAAGAACCTGTTTGAGAGGGTTTGTTCAGTACAATCTTAAGTAAAATGTGACCAAATAGATTCTTAGATAATATAATAATTGCACATTAACAGAATGAACTTTCACACTGTAACCAGGTTTGTTTTCTTCATCATTTATTCACTGTTTTATTTCATAAACAAAAACAGTTTGATCTCTATGTCAAAGACATATCTCAGTACAACCACAGCAAAAGTACAAGGTGCAAAGAACCTGATATGTCCAAGGATACAGTTGGTACCAAATGTTTAGTAATCACGATATGAGAAACATGCATTAAAATGCCCACAGAAACCGAAGATACACACACAAATTAAAGGCTTACATTATTATCTGTAAACGCATTTGGTGTGATCAAGTCTTTTGGGAGTTTTGGGGACCTGAGGGGAGGACAGAGCAGCCATGAGAGGCTCACAGGGAGTTCAGCTTCAGCTCTTCATCACACCACAGTGAATTCATAATTTGGCATTAAAATTCAAGTTATTTAGATTTACAGAAAGTGTTTGTTTTGGTATTTAAATCCAAACCCAACAAGTAGCTGTCAAATGACATCCTCGTTGAGATTTTATTTTACTTTATTTTGGTTTATTTTATCTTATTTTCATTCAACAGCAGCAAAATGTGTTTAAAAAGATGATTATTTTTGTGTAAAATAGTAGGTGAGTGCACCATAGCCTAAACCCACAGATGTGACCTGATATCAAGTGAGATAGAAAGATAATAAAATGCAACTAAAAAGCACAGATTACTAAATCATTGCACTACAGTCAAATTAAATGATGCATCTTCTATTTTTTACTTCTTCTGGAAGAGTTTATACAATGATTTTTTAAAAGTGTTTTGAGTTAACTTTATCTCCAGCATCCATCTTCTCTCTTTTACATCTTGGTTGGTTTCTTTCAAACCAGGTAACATGCTTCAATCATTTTTCATCTAAGGCCTCTGCCAGACTGAGACCAGTGCAGGTGTTGGTGTAGGTGAGTGTGAATGTGAGAAAAAAAAATCCAAGGAGAAAGCGTCTTAAGCACGCCAAGAGCCAGGGGCAGGAATTAAATCCTCATTATGATCTGGCACCATCACCACTCTCTCCTTGTATATATATATATATATATATATGTGTGTGTGTGTAGGGGTGTGTGTGTGTGTGTGTGTCTACATGGCACTAATAATACAACTGCACAGTAGCATCTTGACTTATGTTTGAAACTCACAGACCCTGGTCAGAGGGTTTTTTTCCCTGCATATGTATGTCTTAGGCAGCCAATAAAGTGTAAGCAAAAAGGTTTTCATGCAAAAACTATTATTTTTCAAAGGTCCAGGTTGTAGGATTTAGTGGCATCTAGCAGTGCAGTTGCAGATCGCAACTCCTTCGCTTCACCATCTAGATATCAAGATCTAGATATCTAGAGCCAGTGTTTGGTCCGTTCTGGGCAAAAAAACACAGTAATTCTTCAGATGATTATACACTAATAAAAACATAGTTATGAATATTACATTCAATTTCTGCCGACAGATCCTCCTAAAACTTACACACTGGACCTTTGAAAGTACAGCCAGTAGTAACAGAATGAACTTGACTAAAGACAGTAAATGTTCACTTTACAATGTCAGTGCCAAACATTTAAACAAAAAGTTTGACAGGCTTATGTGTTTTCTTGCCGAGAGTTAGATGAGAAGATTCATACCAAGCACAGTAACTTCCTGAAGTCTATACTCGTTGCCTGGCAACGGCGAGGACCGAAGAGATAGTCCAGGACATAACCCCTGAGATCTACAACTGCTTTTACATTTTGGTTTTTATAGGTTATTAAATAAACAAGATATAATGTGTTAATTAGTGAACTTTAGAGGTGGTGGTAGGTGGATTTTGTTACATTTGGACGGAGCCAAGGAAGCTGTTTCCAGTCTTTGTGCTGCTGGAGGTAGCTTCGTATTTACTGTACAGACATGACGGTCATATCTATCTCCTCATCCAATTCTCAGCAAGAAAGCAATTAAACTTATTTCCTTAGGGTCAAACTAGTCCTTTAACTTCCAAGTTTGATTCACAATGACTGACCAGATACAGTATTTTATATGTAAAATGACTGGATCACCTGTACAGATACAAAAGCTCAGACTGGTGATAATTACAAACCGTAATAATATTTTTTACTGTCCCACATATTCATTTAAGTACACATCTATACAATCCAATTAAATGTCTGACCATTAAATAAATAGCCAATCAGATTGTTGCTGTTAAAATAAATAATGAGACTGCTGACAGTTTATGTGAGGCACGTAGAGCACCAAAACAGAAATAAATAAAACACAGAAAGATGCCCAGAAAGTTAAAAGATAACTGACCTGTGACTAAAGCATTTTCTCTCACACACACACACACACACACACACACACACACACACACACACACACACACACACACACACAAATGTGCAAATGCATTTAATCACATCGCACACGTGATGTTTTACATGATGTACGAGGTTATTAAACCAGCCTCAAAGGTTACTGATGCACTAGATGTCTGAATCCGGCTAGCAGGCCAGCCGACAAACTCCATTACAGCCCATTGATTGATTTATTGACTGTCTAATAAATTGACCGACTGATTATCACTAATAAAAATCACAGCAATTGGCTTTTTCTGAAGAATGCCTGCAACTAACTACTTAATGGAGTGGTAGATTGATTGACCGGTTTGTTAACTACTCAGCTGCAATCCTTCGCAGATCGCCCTGAGGCTAGAAATGTGACTTTCTGGAGAACTCGTGCAACACATTTACTACTGTAATTTTATACACAGCAAATAAAATAGCAGTTCAATGGATGTGCAACAAAGCAACTGAAAAAACTTTACATCAAGCTGTGCAAAAATGTGACACATTCGATGCGAGGGGCGAGGAGGGAGGAGAGGGTTGTGACTCCAGTAAACAGACGCAGGAGCTTGGCTACAACCGAGTAAAAGCTGATGAATGTTTCAGAATATAAGTCGACAACCAGAGCATGCATTGCTGTTTGTTCTGTACATATGTATGTACTTCAGGTGGAAACAGCCTGTATTATTAATATTCACCTTTCAGGTTATGAAACTCCAATTACATTTACGGTCAAACGAACACTTTGGTCCGATAATAAATAAAGTATGTGTGGTGCCTCTTGAGAAGATGCAGGTAGTTTACTTCTTCCACGAATATAAAGAAAATTATATATGTGATAATAATGAGTCCGAATGTACCTTTGTACATTTTTAAGTGAATCTACAGAATAAAATACTGGGGAGAAATATGATGGAAGAACTGAGTACATGTAGTGTAGCTCTGTTGACGGCTGTTCAGGGTGGATGTTGGCGCAAACCTACTAAATATTTTAAGAATGTAAAAGTACTGGTGTCTTCCCCATATTCATTCAGCAGTGGTGGGCCACAACAGCCAGACAAGCTACAGAAAATGCAAAAAATAACATATTAAAAAAATACGTATTTCAATACTTCCTGTAAAAAATGCATCTGCAAAAGGCCCCAACTGCTTGCATCAAGTGCGGCCGCTCACTGCGTGTAATGTTCACATTTTGGGGGCTGCAACAGCTCGTTTTGTGCGTCAAACTCTACTGTAAATGTAATTCGCTGACACCTGGAGTAAAGCAATTAATACCAGTGGCTCACAGGCAAAATCTCTCCCTCCATCTTTCCCATTTCTCTCCTGCTCTCTATTTCTTTTGCTCTTAACTGGAAGCTTTCAGCAGAAAACACTGCTCTTTAATAATTTGTATTCATGTGTCATCGTTGCTGGCTACGGGCACTTTTGGCTCTAAGATATGGCTGCTGATCCAACAAGCGCATTAAAATCAACCATCAACAGCAATGCAACAAAACAAACATGGCATGTCTAAAAACGAGTCATCAGTAAAATAATCAGCTAACAGGAAACACACAGAGACACATTTTTAAAATGTTGTACTGACGGTAACGTGTGAGCAACAGCCTGAAAAAGCAAGAAGTGTTAATGTCTCACATGCATGGATGGATTATGAGGCCAAACAAGAGCGTGCGGCGCCCCACCCCCCCTCCCCTCCCCTACATAAGAGCAAGAGCCCCAGACAGACACAAAACAACTGCAAACAACTCATTCACGTCTCTCTGTGGACGTTTTGTGTCGGTTCATGGTCATTTAGTGTTTCTTCTGAGTCTCTTTGTGGTTGTTTTATGTCTCCTTTTTAGTTGTTTTGCATTTCTGAGGTCATTTTGCATCTATTTGTGGTTGTTTTGTGTCCCTTTTGTAGTTCTTTTGAGTCTCTGGTGGTTTTGTGTCTTTACTCAGGTTGTTTTGTGTCTCTTTGTAGTGAGTTTGTATTTCTTTGCAGTGAGTTTGCATTTCTTTGCAGTTATTTTGAGTCTGTGTGGTTGCTCTGTGTCTGTCTGGCAGTTTTGTGTCTTTCTTTTGTAGTCATTTTGCATCTTTTTGTGGGCGTTTTGCATCTTTTTGTAGTTGTTTTGCATCTCTTGGGTGGTCATTTGTTTGACTTTTTAAAAGGTTTACGGTCACTTCAGAGAGAAGCTCTTGCCCAGGGGTCCTAGTGTAGTTTTTGACAAGTCAATTAAACAACCGCTCAGTTATCCATCCACGCAGTTTAAGGTCTTGGATACTTGCTCAGAAACATACAAACACACATACACCCACTCGCACACATGCACACACATCCTGAGGCTGGCAAGTGGTTAACATATGTTCATCGTGGTTGAGTAGCAACAACCTGTTTGGCACCAAGATAACTGACCTCCTCCTGCTTTTTTTTTTTCTTCCAATGTTTCCTCTCAGCAGGATCAAGTCTTCAACTTCTTTGTTTGTGTATATATGTTTGTTCATTGTTAATCCATCTGAAGAGCAGATGTGTATCTGCTGTCACCATGTGTCAGTGTGTGTGTATGTGTGTCTACCAGTCTAAATCCCCACCGCATCACATCAGAACAGCTGTAGTAACACCTCAGGTCCCCAGTCCATGGCCGTGTGAGCCACAGCGAACACGGCTGCCCCAAGCGTGGCGGACAGCCCCCATACAGCCATCTTCACCATCCTGTTCCCCTTCCCCCACAACTGGCCTCGGTCCCGGGGCAAAGCTGCTTCCAAGCCTGAGTGTCGAGAAGATACGAACACAGAACAAGGAGGAGGGGTCAGAGTGTGAGGAGCGGAGACAAGGAGGAGTCAAGAGGATTCAAAATGCTGGAAGCTGAACCAGAGGAGGATCAAGCTGCATTTTGTTACCAGTACTGGAATCAAAGGGGGGGTCAAAGGTTTGTCAAAACACCAGGAGTCAAGACAAGGAGGGGTCAAAAGCAATAATACACAACAATTAAATATTAATGAACCAATCCTGCTCCCTGATCTTTGCTAAGCAGTACTCACACTTTTATTTTTCTTTTATTTATTAGGTACACCTAGCCAAAACTAATGCAGCCTAATACAACCCTGTAATAAATACCTTTATGAAGGTTATAATGTTCAGTTTTTTGTTATTGATTCAACTTTGCGGTCATGTTGGTAGCCACAGTTTGTAGTACTGTTGAATTGTAGTGAGTTATACTGGGTGTACACTAAATATTCTACACACCTCTCAGTATAAATAAACAAGCAGCAGCTCATACAGTACGGCAAATATCCAATATTGTGTGTCCCTATTTAACACACGACTGAAGCTACTACAGTATATACAGTGGAGGTTACACAATGCAAATATATTCGATGGCTATTGCTGAAGAAAGCAGCTCCTAAATAGAATCAGTAACAAGGTTTGACATAATAAAAATCTTGAGGTTTATAACTTTTTAGTCGTCAGCCAATATTCATCATTAGTTTAAGATTTCGACACCGGGTTGTCTGATGCTGACTCCCATTCATTCTCCGCCACAGTGAAATCAGGGGATGCTATAGATCGGCCCTCATTCTGTCCGTTGTGCACCTCATCTCGATGCTGCTAATTGAATTTTGATGAAACTGCAGGGAATGATGTGCATCAATTTTAATATTACACTGTTTGGCCTGAGGGGAATGTTACAGCATATTTTTGATTGCCTGTACATCACAGACAATATGTCAGACGCCACTGATCAGATTTTCGCGAAACCTACGGGAATAAAGCATCTCTTTGTTCTTTTCTAGCATATTTAAATTTGCACTTGATTGGTCTGATGGGAGTAATACATCATTTGTTTACTTGTTATTGATTGGTCAAAAGGGGGGCAGCGTTTGTGGGGGATGACATATTTACTGTTGCTTTGTTTTGAACAATCGTGTTCTGTGGATCCATCAAATGACTTTCATGGTCAGGTTGGAAATGTTTGTTCTTGCAATCTCACAGTCGATATTAATTTCTACCCAACTTCAAAGAGTATGCAACAAGAATTCACTTTTACTTCACCCATCTGCATGTGTCTGCATGTGTGAAGTCCTTAAGAGTCAGTAATAAGATTAAAGTTACTATTTTTACCGTGTTTGGAGGTGGAGGAGCCATGGGCCTTAGTGAGTCGTCGGAGAACAGAGTCGGGCCTCTGGTGGAGGGTGGAGAGCTGAAATGCCTGGAAGGTGCTGATGGACAGACTGGAGATAGAAAACGGAGGAAAAGAAGAGGGAAGGAGAGTTAGTCGGTGATGGAGAACAGAGTCAGGTCTACAGTGAAGCATGGGTGGCTGGAATGACATAAAGAGATGGACTGAAGGATAAACTGATAGATAAAGACAGGTGAGAGACAGTTTGAAAGATCTAATAAGTCAGTAGATCCTGTATATAGGAAGCTATGGGGAGTAATGCATTATGGGACGTGAATGTCAGTCAGTGAAGGTCCTGTGTCAGTGATGTCACTTCCTCTCCTGAACAATGACCGTAAGGAACGCTTGAAGGACACTGACAAAGAGACTGATGGAGGGAGAAACAGAGAGAGAGAGAGAGAGAGAGAGAGAGAGAGAGAGAGAGAGAGAGAGAGAGAGAGAGAAATGTAGTTCTGTATCTAATGCTTCCTCCTCAATAATAAAAAATGTGGAAAAATGGTCACACGCATGGTTTCACACACACACCAAATGGCGCGTGTGTATGTGTGTGTGTGTGTGTGTGTCTGTCAGCAGCCCCACTGAGTTTGGATGTGTTTTTAGAGCATCCCCTATTGGCTACTGACAGAATTACACCACACCACCTGCAGTTATAATAAACCACCTTAAAATATGTTTATGTGGTAAACTTTTGATACTATTGATTAGTTGATTCTTAAATGTGCAGATTTCCTTTAATCGTGTAATTAGAAGATAACATATGAGAAATTGTGATGGGCAGTTTTTACCATTTTGTGAAATTTTGTAGACTAATCACTTGATTAATTAAGCAAAAAATCATTTACTGATTAACAGAAACGAATCATTATTTTCAGCCCTGGGTGCATAAGTATTTCTTTATATAGCACAGTGGGTTTACACTTTATCATTCAGTTAATATGTTTGCATATCACATTTACTACATACTGGATTTTAAAGGACCAGTGTGTACGATTCAGTGACATATATTGCAACCACTTACATAGTAAGTAATACAGCTCAGTCTTCTAAGCATCAAAGAGAAACTAGGCCCTATTTAGAACCAGTGTGTGGTTTGTCTGTTCTGGGCTACTGTAGAAACATGGCGGTTCAACATGGCGGCCTCTGTAAAAGAGGACACACTTCCTCTGTAGATAAAAACTGCTCATTCTAAGGTAACGAAAACACGACAATTCTTATATACATGTGATTATACACTAATGAAAACATACCTATGAATATTATATTCCCATTTCTACCAATAGATCCTCCTGTACTGGACCCTTTAGCCTCATGTCTTCTCATCTGTTTATTTAATAGTATTATTACTATTAACTATTGTTTCAATTGTTGTCTCCTCACCTCTTGCGAGACTGCAGTGCTGCGCGCTTGGCCAGTAGAGATGGAGGGTACTGGTCGAACAGGTCCTGGGCCCGGCCAATCAGGAGTTCGTATGGAAGGTCTTGGGGGATGCGGGAGAGGAGGTGGTGGACCATGGCCATGTCACACTCTGTCTGCTTAACCTCCTTCTCTCTGTGCAACACAATCTGAGAAGGAGGGTAAGGGTTAAAGGTTTTAACGCCTGAAGCAACAAACTGGTGAATTAGAGTCGTTTCAGTGATACTAGTGAGGCAGAATGAGTGCCTAACAGTGAAACAGGCAGATGAGGAGTTAAGCCCCCCCCCCCATGCTGTGCGCTGTACTCAGCCTTGGAGGAAACATGAACTACATTCTGCTTTGTTGTTTCACACACTTCAAACAGAAGTCTCCCTCTGCCCAGCCCCTACACACACACACACACACACACACACACACACACACACACACACAAAAAAAAAAACACACACACACACACACACACACACACACACACACACACACAACACACACACACACACACACACACACACACATCAAGTGCAAATGAGCAAAATGTGCACAATTGTACACACTAATCAACATGCAAAAAAAAAAAAAGCTCTTCAGTTAAAAACTCACTTAGATACACTCAAATGAACACAAGGATCCATGGACATACAGATACACATTCCAGCAGTAAAGATTTCTGCCAAAACCGCTGGTGTGAGCATCCAGAGGAACAAGTTTCAGAGAGGAACAAGTAGAAAAAGTCACAAATATAAAATTGCTTTTCCTTTTGTAATCCATTCCTCTCTCTCCTTGTCAGCGTTTCCTCACGCAGTCCTCAACCTTTTCCCTCTCTTTCCCCTTTTATCTCTCTCTCTCTCTCTCTCTCTCTCTCTCTCTCTCTGTTTTTTTTTTCTTTTTTTCTCTCTCATTAGGAGGTGTCTAATTAACTAGTCCAGTGACTTCACAGTGCTCTACCTCACCGTGTGTGTGTGTGTGTGTGTGTGTGTGTGTGTGTGTGTGTCCTGGATTACTGCCTCTGGTTCATTTCCCGTTGGCTTCCCTGCCCTCTTACCGTAGCGGCGAGGTAGATGGGCATCAGTGGGTGTGAAGCCAGGAAGAAGTCGTAGAGTCTCAGGGTGTGTTTGAACTCTGACAGCACGTGGCCGAACCACGTGATGAGCCAGGACAGAGCGAAGATGTTTCCCACCTCGGCTCTAAAAGAAAAAGGCGAATGTATACAGAGAGGTAAATAACACACAGGCCAATAAAACCCACTGTCATGCTTTAAATCTTTTCTTTTAATTTAACCATGAAAACGTAACTGAGATTAACAATCTCAAGATTGTTGTTGTGGTCCAGAAAATACAAAATATATAACATCAGCAAAATTAAAGGACCAGTGTGTAGGATTTACTGGTATCTAGTGATGAGATTGTAGATTGCAAACAACTGAAACCCCTTCACACAACCAAGCATGATGAAGAACTACGGTGGCCATGAAATTAAAAAAATATATATATATATATATTTTTTTTTTTTTTTTTTTTTTTTTTTTTAAATTTCATGGCCACCGTAGTTCTTCATCTACAGCCAGTGTTTGGTTTGTCCATTTTGAGCTACAGTAGAAACATCGTGGTTAAACATCCTGAACTACGTAGGAGAGGATTCACTCCCCCGTAGATAAAACAAAGTCACAACTATTCTTATTTTAAAATGATTATACACTAATGCAAAAATACCTATGAATATTATATTTCTGCCAACAGATCCTCCTCAACGTTACACACTGGATCTTCAAATAAAAATGCAAACATAAAATCACAAATAAAATGTCTAGTGGGAATAGTATGAAAATATATGGGCAGATTATTCTGTTTTTCTATCTTCCAGGCAGCTCGTGGTTTCAGTTAATCTCAGTTTGGTTTGACAATCTACTTGTAAAGATCAAATCACAATCCATCACACATTCAAGTTGATTTTCATACTGTATCAAAATGAATGAAAACCAGTGGCTGGGAGGGAGGAAATCTTTTTGAAAACTAATGGCTTGCCAAGTGGTGGCAAGTGGTGTTCAGTACGAGGGATTTTTAGTCAGTGGGATAAAAGATCTGGCTAACATTACCCAAAAAGACCCTCCTGAATGAATTTAGGGTACTCATAATGGAAAAAAAGGTCCGATACTTTGAACACTAGTATGTTTCAAGCTCCACATATGCTGGATCCAACGATTCCCAAACTTTCTTTTAAAAGGTTTGTTGCTTTAAAAACATTTAGTCTCCGAGCTCAATAGTCGGGCTTAATCCAACATGAAACACTGTGTTGCAAGAGCTCATCAATTTCTAAAGAAAGGTACATTTTCTTTACCTCCGCACGCTGTTTATAAGCCTCCCAAGCTCTTCTCTGTCTTTCTTTGTTGTGTGCTAATGTACATATGCAGTTACTTCTGACAGAGTCTCAAGAAAAAGATTTAAATTGGATACTCTTAGAGGTTGTTGATAAATATTGGATAGGAAGAAGGATGAGTACAAGGGGAAGGGAGTGACAAGTGAAAAGAAGTCTTGGGAGTGGCGGACATGGGGGGGGTTGTTGGGTAAAGAGAGGGAGCAAAGGGCAGGGAGCATGATGTGTGATGAGAGGGACATAAAAGAGATAAAATGAAAATGGAAGGGAGGTAAAATAAAGGAACAAAACAGATGTGGAAGCAGGAGAAAAAGGGAAAGAAGAAAAGAAGCAGAGATAAGAGGGAAGGTTAGAGGAAGTGGAAGTGCTCACAAAAAGGAGCGTTCTTAACTTTGAAGTGGGGTATTGTTTATCCTGACGTTTTCCTGCGAGTGGAATGTCTGTTGGTTTTTTTTTTGTGCCTTTTTGTGTTTGTGAGAGCTTGTATGTGAGCAGACAGGTAATTTGCAAATATGGAGGTTGCCAGCACAGCATCAATTATGAACAGGCAGCAAGACAGCAAAGGTACTGTAGACGCAGGTGTACACACACACACACACACACACACACACACACACACACACACACAACACACAAACACACACATGCAGCAGGGTTGGATCTAGAGAAATGTTCATGGGGTGGTTAGAGGGTGGCAAGGAGACTTTAAGGGGTGGCAGGAATACATGCTGATTTAATCGCAAACAATCACATATGTCAACATTTGCCTGGAAAAGCCACAAAATGAAGATATTTGAATTAAAAAACATTACATTATTGTGGCACATTAGTAAAGCATTGACTACAAATACCTAAAGGTGGCATTAGAAATCAAGAAACTGTTCAAATTAATGTGTAAAATTTTCTAGGTCCATGACACACACACACACACACACACACACACACACACACACACACACACACACACACACACACACACACACACACACACACACACACACACACACACACACACACACAGGCACACACATCAAAATACCTTTGAGGACAATTCCAAGTCCTACATTAACCTACAATAGCTGGTGGTGTCTTAAAAGGCTTTTTTGTTGTTGTTGTTGTTTCAATAAACTGCACAAAGATCATGAATCATTTTTTGGCTAATTACACCTCACAAATAAAAGTAAATGTGGTGCACATCTTGGTGGGACAGAAAAGCCTCTGAAACAGCTGTTGGACCATCTGACACAAGAACTCCCCAATGAGATCACTACCGATGCATTTTCAATTTAAAAAACAAAAAAACACTCTTTGTCTCTCAAGAAGCTCACAGGTGAATATCAACACTTTGATGCCCTCTAGTGGTTGATACTGACATTACATTATGTCCAAAGAGATGGACAATAGTCAAATTTGATAGGAGCAAGAGTTAGATGTCATCATCCTCTCCAACAATCAGCCAAGACTGTGTGTGTGTGTGTGTGTGTGTGTGTGTGTGTGTGTGTGTGTGTGTGTGTGTGTGTGTGTGTGTGTGTGTGTACCTGATCATGAAGTCATGTAGTTCTGTATCAACTTGCTCCAATATAGGCATCAGGTAGTTTAAAATGTGTTTAGTGCTGTCCATGGTAGGATCCATGAAATCCCTACAGACAGAGAAGACAAACATAAAATATGTAAATATTACTGCTTAATAATTGGAAATATGGTTGATTAATTGGGTTCATTGTCAAATGTCTTGATAAATTGATCTTTTTTTAGAGAATAATACACAACCTGAGATGGTAATTGGAGAGTGTGTCCAGCATGGCGATGGCCATCTGCTCTCCCACTACCAGCAGCAGAGAGACGGCCACATCGTGGTAGCCCTGGTAGTAATGGAGCTGAGGGTTGTGTTTCAAAACCGCCAGTATGATATCAATCAGCTGCTCCTGGAGCACGGCTCTCTCTGTGGATGGCATACCTGAGGGAGAGCCAAGGATCAGCACATTCAATCTTGTTAGACGTGGAGAGAGCAGTTGGTTCTCTCGGAGGCTTTGATAAAGGCCTCAGCAGCTAATGGGAAACGGTCGGGACGTTAATGGAAACACACCATGTAAGTTAGCAATTAGAGCTGTTGTTTACGTCTTTCATGCTCTGTATTCACCCAAAATGTCAACTTCTGATGGTCTTCATTCTAACTTTCTTTTACCATCAAACAGACATTAAATCACGTACAACACTAAGAGTCGTACATCCCTTATTTCCTGCCTTTCTTTCAGTTAGTTTTCCCTCATTGACAGCCTCTCAGTTAGACACTTTTCTCCTTTGCTTTCTGAACTTTGTGATTTTGGCTGACAACACAGGTGTCTTGTGACATATACATCTTTTCTGCTGCAGCTTTTTTTCCATTTCATTAATTATTAAGCTTAGATATCTGTGTGTTGCTGTAAGTATGGGGGTATAGGTTGATAAATGGCACTGTGAGCTATGCTGCTATCTTCAGAGATAACACACACTCAGACCTTTCGGGAACCGCTTCATGGACCTCCTGACATCCAGGACTACTTGGTTGTAGTCCTTGTGGTTCTCCCTCACATCTCGACCTACAACAGAAGACATTGTTGTTAACAGTGTTAGCAATAGTAATATATAGTATACATACAACCAGTGAATATCAGTATCAATCAGCTACTAACCAGGTTTATGTGGCAGCTTGTACACATTGATGTTCAGTAGTTTGGGCCACACTTTCCTCCTCAGTTCATCAGTGAGCAGTCCTCCTTTACTGGCTGCTGCTCTCCTCAGGGTCTCAATGTCCACTGGATCGCTGCGCATTCAACAGCAAGAGTTGGACACAATTTGTTCTGTACAATGCACTACTTTGAAGCCTGCTCACACAGCAACAACTTCAGCTAAAGGCTCTGAATATTATTAACTGCCTATGTTACAAATGAACTTACTTCAGGAAAAAGGTGTAATTTTCTTGATTCTCATGCAGCAATGTTACATATTTGTATAAGAATCATCTTCATAAAACAAGGATATTAAAGATTTTAAAATTACCTAAATATGAAAGACAAATATGACAATCTGAGTCCACTAAATCAGACCTTGAGTGTACAAATAAACATCCATTTAATTGTCAACTGTTGTATTCGCTCCACGTCTGTCTAACACTGCGGCAGCATGATGTGCGTCCACGTGTCTAAATTGAACGGACAAAGAAAACTGTTGTTTGTGAGGAATTCACAAAATCAACCCGCTCAATTGTGCATGTGCTTTCCTGTGTCATTTACCCATCATCATTAGTCCCACATGCCTCCTGACACTAAAGCCTTCATGATCCTCGTCACACTATTCCTCTGGGAACATGTGAGTAATCTTCATGTGTGAAATTACCTTAGTACGAAGCGATGAAGGTCACTCTCTGTGGATAAATGCATACCTTCTAATTGTGGAACAGCGAGCAGCCGAGGAAGAGGGGCCATTCCCACTTGGGAAAACCCATCCTGCGGCCATTGCGCTAGTGCTAATGGAGGCTTTTCGTCAAAGTGTCAAAACTTTTTAGATTTCTAAAAATACAGGCAGGGAAACTATTGAGGGGTGGAAATCTTGTATCTGCTGGGCAAACCTTAACACCCTGCGTCTTCACTGTTCTGGTGTTTAAAAGACTGCTCATAACTAGAGCATCATAGTTAAATATGATGTACTCCAGTGTTTCTCCATCAAAAATCAGAGCGTATCATCTGCAGCTAACTAGCTAATTGGCAACAGATTCATATGAGCTTCAAATAAACGTTTGAAGATGTGACTGAATGTGACAAAATAAGATTAAATCAGCTATGAAACAGCTTGAATCAGTGTGTCCTCCTGGATGCCATTCAGGGCAGAAGAAAGAGTGAGCATCCCTAACAAGCAAACTGTAACTGATCATTATTATTCTAACCTGATCAAAGCCTGATGGATCTCAGCCAGCTTCTGTTTCCTCCCACAACTCGGTTCTGTAGAAGAGGGAGAGAAAAAAAGAAAGATGGGGAGGGAAAGAGAGGGAGGAGGGAGTGTGACAGAGAAATATTTGAGGAATGAAAGACAAGACGGCAGTGATCAAGAGAAGGATAAACAGAGAAAAAGATAGGGCAATGAGAGACACGGAAGAAAAGAAAGGAAGAGAGGAAAGGATAAGAAAGGGGGAGACATAGAAAGATAGATCACGTTGGGTTTATAAAAAAGGGCTTGCAATAATAAACATGAAACACACAGACAAAAGCACCGTTTCTAGCGTATAATAATAATAATTCACATACATTAAAATCCCTTTAAATGTTTTGCTTTGTTACACATTAACTGTAAAGTGTCACTGCTTTTATTTTACAAGGAAATCTGCAACACGCCCATTACAATAACTCAACGACTGCTCATAATGAGTCACAAGTATGACCACAATTAAATGCCATGTAGTGAGTCTGGTTCAAAATAACCTACTGAGAGTTTGACTTGAATGGTTAAAGCAGTGTCGAGTGATGACATAAATTAGTTTTCTGTGACAGTGAATAAAATAATAAATAATAATGTCCTTCTTCTGTTGTCTGGACACCAGCTGCAACTTTTCCAGACAGTTCAAGTTGGCAGACAGACTTGCCACGCAGGCACCACAGTCAGATAATCACATAAAGTTGACAGAAAAACAACAACAACAACAACAAAAAAAGACAACCAGTGGTTAAAAACAAGTCATGAAAACAGCAGAAAACTCGTGATTCGTGTGTTGTACTGCAGTTTTGTGTCAGCTGGCTGCAGTAATAACATTAAGTTGACTGGGTGTTCACAGGTAGGTCTGTCTGTACTGTGGGCCACGTGTACAAGTAGATCGATAACAGTGAATATACAGGCTGGTTTTACTGGAAACAACTAGCTCTGTGTGAGTAGTGTGTATCTGTGTCTAGTGTACATTTATTAAACACCCTAACTACCTCGCTGTGTGACCCGTTTATTGATTACCTCTGGAGACAGATCCATTCCCATTCACTCCAACTCCTGCGTTGTGTTTCTTCCTCTTGAGTCTTTTCATCCCTTTTAAAAACTCACTGCCGAGTGATAAAGTTTGTGTTGTGCCATAGGCCAGTTAAAAACATAAAAATAATGCGTCTCTAACCGGATAAAACACGGATAACATTTGGCTGTCCGTGGTCGGTTTCTCTCAACAGCTGTCCCTGACAGAGGCAACCTAACGGGGAGTCGCCCCGCTGCTCTGCGATTGGGCAGAATTAACACGTGATAGAATACACAAATCCCATTGGCTGCCGACCGGCTCACACCGCACACTAACTTGACTGTGCTTTTGTAGTCCTGATATTTTCGCGATAGTAGCGACTGTGTGTTTTAAAGGCATTTGTTTTATTATTTACACAATACTTATTGTTATTCTTATATACCTTTACCACTAGGCGGCAGTACAGCACTATATAGCAACTGTTATGAAAATTATAATATTATTATGGACAGTTATAGACTACAATTAAAACTTTAATATTATGATAACATGGGCAAGAGTGTCTGTGGTCTTTTTTAGTGCATGTATTGTGTGCACTACTTTTTCCTTTCTCTCTTCTGAGTGTGAAAAATGTATATTCACAATAATATAAAAAGAAAATAAGACTTAATAGAACTTAAATGTGGAAAAAAACAAAATAGAAATACAATATCTGTTGAAATGTAGAATAGCAATATGTATAGGCCTTTATATTTTCAACATTTATGTGAAATCCTTTTTATTAACAGGTTTTTATTATAAATAAAGAAAAACGTGTTCAAATTAAAGCTATGTAAATAAAGCTATCTTGTTTATAATGCTGAAATCTATGTTTGAATGCCTCTGATTTGCTTCTGCAGACTAGTTTAGTCCTGAATAAATCTGGTACAGGGTCATTATGGTACGAGAACACAGCTGCTCTGAGCCTCGAGTTTTGCCTCTCAGGTTGCTCTTTGTTGCATACAAACAAATTGCACACAGTGGCACACACAAATCCCAGCTATGGCCTTGAACCTAACAAACAAATTTAAAATTTAAATAAAGAAAGAAGTTCCTCTCCAGACTACAAGAAGATCAGTAATTGGTTGGGTGTGGTTCTAGGTAAGTATTTATTCAAATATATAAGTCTAATGTCTAGGTTTGGCCTGTTTCCCGTTCATGTTGTGCCCCTACTGCTCTTACAGCCTATCCATATGTTCATACTATAATATATATAATATATAACATTATAAGATGCTCTTTCATTTATTGGTGGACGTTGTGTTGGGGGTAATGCTGTCTGCCATATTAAAAAACACCAATAAATCCAAACTGTTTACATATTTAAAGTGTTTACCTGGCATTTAATGAATGAATAAATAAATAAATAACACAATAAACAATACAAAAACACAAATAAACAAAAAATAGCCCAGTCATCTTAGCCTGTTAAAGGATTATGGGATTTATTTATTTATTTATTTTACTTTCTATATCTTTGTTAAGGCAAAGGCTTTGTTTAAAAAACAAACAAACATTAGGTTTCAGCTTTTGAGGAACATCCTACGCGGAAGTGTATTGGGGACTTGGGCTGGATAAGGGGGATATCTGTTGAAACACTCAGACCTGGCAACCCCGCTGACAATTGCACCTTGAGCTGTAGTAGTGACGATGAACCGTCGTCTCATCGCCAGCGCTGACACAACCCGGGAGGTGGGCAGCCCGCCGCCGTCCATTCAGCTCTCGATGTGAAGCCACAGATGGGAACAGAGAGACACACGGGTGACAGCAGTTTGACCAAATGTCAGGCAGGTAAAAAAAAAAAAAAGCAAACTGCGTGAGTGAAGCCGCCGAGATGAGCGACAGAGCCGAGATGAGAGGGCCCTTAACCCGCCGGAGGAGGACGACCATCTCCGGCGGTGGCAGCGGAGCGGTCGGCGTCAAGCAAGCCAACGGGAACAAGTCGCACGACGCCGGGGAGAAACCGCCACAGTGTCCCGGTAAAGCCAAAGCAGACGAGGTGTCCAGGCATGCGAGTGGCAACAACGCGAAGGTGGGCAGACAGACGGGGGAGTCGGGGCAGCTCGCAGACAGCCCGAGGAAACAGAAGAGTGCGGTGGAAGACATCAACGAGCGGCTCAGGTAACCGTTGATTTTTAAAAAATAAAAAGACGTTACAGACGTTCCACCGTTACGTGCGTCAACTGAAATGACACGAGCGCACTACATTCTGTATTAATATTAAAGCTCCTCATTTACGGCCCGTGTCATTCACATATGTGTCAGCTAATTGCCTTTATTTAATACTATTATTAGCCTGTGAACGTTTGTCAGACACTTTATTAACTACTAGTGCAGCAGACTGACGACCCCCTCCACTACGTGACATATTTTATAGATATTTCGTATTATATTCAGTGCATAACAATAAGAACAGAACAGCTAGTAAACTTTACAATGAAATCAAATAGTGAAGACAATAACTGCAGGAAGTAATTTGGATGATTTGTTTGCAGATTATTTCCTGTGATTGTTGCATCAGAGATGAGTTTTCCTCATATTTAAAATACTTTTTATACAATTCTCTTCCTGCATTATGTTTTTTAGGCTTATTTTTTTGACCAAAGTGTTTTCTTCTCGCTGTTTCTTGGCCATTGTCCTGTTAGCTCTTTGGTTGTTTTAACTTTTCTACTGCAGGACATAGCTGTTTATCACAAAGTGAAGGCTCTGTGAATATAGCTTCTGTCCATAAACTTTAGATCTTAAATAATAATACAAACTTTTAAAATAAGAATTTCATTTAGTTTTCTTTAATATTCATGTTTAAGTTTTCTTGCACCATTTTAAATCATTAAGCTTTGGCCCCGAACCCCGGGTTGGGAACCTCTGTGCTATGTTTCTGTTATCAAAGGAAAAACTGCCACAACCGGTGATGTTGTGAATTTGAGGCTTTGAGGAAGAATTGTTATTAAATCAGCATCCACCCTGATAAAGAAAGCTCAGGAACAACTATATTTCTTAAGGAAGCTTAAGAAGCCAATTTCTGTGCTAAGTACATGTGAAGATTTTCAGTTGCGCAATAGAAAGCATCCTGACTGGAAACATTACAAACTGACATGGGATGTGCACGGCCCGGGACTGGTGAGCTCTCCAGTGAGTGATTAAGTCCACCCAGAACATTACTGGTACTCATCTACCCAGCATCAGTGATATCGGATATTTATTTATCATTCTGCAACACAGGGTTGTACAACGAAATGCAAGTTGTAGTCCATTTATGCCACACACACACTATGTATGTATATATATATATATATATATATATATATATATATATATATATATATATAGTGTGTGTGTGTGTGTGTGTGTGTGTGTGTGTGTGTGTGGCATAAATGGACTACAACTTGCATTTCGTTGTACAACCCTGTGTTGCAGAATGATAAATAAATGAACCTTGTACACTAAAGGAAGCCATCATTTCAGCGGCCTTTCTTCACATGACTCTTTAATTTTGTGAAAGAGAGAAGGGTAGCTGTAAGTCCGACCCTTGCCCTAAATATAACATTCATTTAATGGTAACACATCCTCATCTCTAGATATGCCTTTGCCTTTGAAAGCATGCTTTTGTGGCTAAGGGTTTTTTACATCCTTTGGACTTGTAAAGATTGGTATTGTAAGGGACACTGCAACATGCAAAATAAAAGTATACTTTATTATACTTTTATTGGAGCCTTGCCAACTAGGTGAGGTGTATGTGTGCAATGTCACTTTCCTGAATCACAACAATAGTGACAGTCATGTTATTTTGCAATACTGTGCCTGCTGACCACATCTGTCTGCACGCTCTTCTGCTGGTCTGGTCTTGCTATGTGTGTGTCTTGGCACGTATTCATTGAGGAACAGCTATACTTTTTTCCTGTCTTTGAATGCTCCTTTCTTTCTTTCTTTTTTTTTTTTTACTTCACTCCAGCCCCTCATTGTCTTATTTTATCTGCCCCCCTTTGTCCACATTTCTCTCTTTAATACCGCATTACCCCCCACCTCATTTTTCTGTCCTGTTCCTCTTCTCTTTCTTCCTCTGCTTCTCCTCCATCTACATTTCCCAACTTTCTTTTATCCCTTCTTCTGCTTTCCTCTTCTTTCCCCTTTTCCATCCTTATTACTGTATGCCCTGTCCCTCCTGCGCCTTGTTCTCCTCTCCATTGTGTAAAACATCTTGCCTGATGAATAGCCTCAGTTTTCACAATGCTGTTTGGACAATGGGGTCAATACCTTTTATAATCTACATTTTCACAACTTTTTTTTATTGCCTGGTGCAGTTGTAGGACCAAACAGCCACTAGGACTAAAAAATAACTTGTATCTCAACTAACTTGGGGTTTCCTAACTACTCTTGTAAGTCTAGGCGAGTCAGTGCGTCACATAAATTAAGTTAAAACAAGAAATGTGAATTTGTGCCACATAGCAGAAACTCAACACTGTCATGTAAAATGTCTAATCTGTGAAATAGTCTTTTACCGTGTTGCTCAGCACACCCCCGCTCTAAACCATTTGTAGGCTAACCATGAGTCACAATGAGTTGTCAGTTTGAATCACGCAGCCACCTTCAAACCAAATACAAACACTGTCATCAAAATGCAAAATCTTGGTGACCTCTCCATAATAACGCCTCTAGTCAAGTTTAGTTTCAAGATGCTGTTGAAAATTTCCTCAACCGAGGTTCGAGAGTGGCATAGAGGGATGCAACCAATGATAAACAGAAGGAATGTGAAGAGCTTGATATAATCAATCAACTATTGACTGTTTGTTTCCCTGCAGCTGTCACGTCCTCCAGGAGTCTCTCTTGAGCTCAGCCAGCGGTTACAGCAACTATAGAGGAATCCTCAACTGGTGTGTTGTCATGCTGGTGAGTAAAAAACTATGTGCACAGTGACTTCCAAAACGGTATACTATTAGTTTGTGGAGCACAAAGATTACACATAAATACTGAATGAAAGTATAACTGGAACTCGTGCAATTTATAATTTTCTCTTTCATCTCTTGACATTTTCTTAAATTATTGTACTTCTGTCACTCTCACTTATAAACACATATACAGTGTATAAAAACTGCTAACTACTATTGCACATTTTAACTTCTGCTTGGGTGGCAGTTGTTTTAACAGCAAAAGGAGAAGTGCCAGCCCACATTTAAAAACAATACACATCCTCCTGGGATTAGGAGTTACAGTGACTTTCTATAAAAATGGTCTGTCTGAGTTGTCTGTGCGAAGTCAGATAAGCTGTTTTGCATGTTATCTTACTTCACACAAGGAGATTCACTACACTATGTTATTCACCCATGGCCCATTTTGTAATTCCTATACTTTCTCATTTCTACAACTTTGATTAAGAGGGGTTGATTAGTTACAGTTTGATCTCAGTGAGTTTACTTTATAGGTTGAACTTTCACTCTCATCAGAAGAGGACTTTTTGTCAGCTGTGCTTGTACTTCAGCATATTCTGGTATACTTGGCACCAAGGTAAAGGATAAATATGAAAACAGGGAAGGAAGTTTCCATCATCCCTAGAGTGAGATGATTATAGGGTGCAAAGCATGAACACGTGTCTTTTTGACCCACATCCAGTAGTATAATTTTATTTTAAATCCTTGGTTTTAACAGTCACACGTTTTAATGATTTATAACATCACTTACATGCCTGATGGATGTTTTCTTACATTAGCTTTTGAGTCTGCATGCTTGGCCAATGCCCAATGAAGTTTTTTCTCATTCTGAAATTCTAATGAGATTAGTCTTCTAGCAGGGACATTTTTGTATTAATAATCCTGAAAAAAATCCTGTGTATGCATGATAGTTTGTGCTTACAAGTCTTAAGCTTTCTAGTATGACCTAAAAAGGATCACTTGAAAGCAGCGCCAAAAGCTGCTTACAAAAAAATATGAGAGAAGCACTTCATATAACAAGAACATAAACTAGCGGGAGCTCCTGTTAAAACAGCTGAAAGGCTATGGTACAGTGCATGCACATACTGTGCACATATGCAGCTGCTGTTCTAGACCATGTTCAAGATGCTGTGAAAAGTAGGCCAGTTTGACATGATGAGTTTTGTTCTGTGGGATTTATGTCAGAGTCTCCTGGTTTGGCTGTGGTTTTTTTAAACTCTTGCAACTTCGCCAAATGTCAACATGAGGGTTAGGGTTAAATATAGGGTGAATAAAAAAAGTAGTAAGTAAATTATCAGTGTTGGATGAAGAATCTCAGTCTCTGTTTAAGTTATATTACTGATCACAGATGTGTCACAGTTAAATAGTTCCCCCTGGGCTGAGGTCATTTCAGGACAAATTCTGCTTTTCTGCCTTGTTCCAATGGTTGTGTGTGTGTGTGTGTGTGTGTGTGTGTGTGTGTGTGTGTGTGTGTGTGTGTGTGTGTGTGTGTGTGTGTGTGTGTGTGTGTGTGTGTGTGTGTGTGTGTGTGTGTGTGTGTGTGTGTGTCCAAAGGCACCCTGCACTGCCTCTGAACATCCAGTCACTGTTAGTGTTTTGATAGGCATGGAGAATACAAATATCCAGTTAGCCCTAATCCTAATGAAACTGAAATGGACACACTATAAAAAGCCCATTATACACATCTGCAAGCATAGAAGTGCATGTTTCTGTCTATATGCACACATGTGCATGCTTTGCTTGCGTGTGAACCTGTACTGTACTTGCATGGTCGCATGCACAAGGGTTATTATTTGTCCCTGTGTTTGTGTACAATATATGTGAGTGTCTGTGAGGATTTTACCAAATCGAGCCTAATTTTGCAGTTCTGTGACAGGATTAAGCCCATCTTTGAAAGTTTATATTGCCGTGACGACCACGTCCTCTACTTTGTGGTCACTAGGGACAGTTCACACTGCTTGGTTCAGACCATTTTTTAGGAAGCCTTCAGGATTAGGCTGTAAGAGTGTGAAGTGGAACGACAGAGTCGTGTGTGTGTGTGTGTGTGTGTGTGTGTGTGTGTGTGTGTGTTTGTGTGTTTGTGTGTGTGTGTGTGTTTGTGTGTGTGTGTGTGTGTGTGTTTGTGTGTTTGTGTGTGTGTGTACACATTTAGAAGCATAGTTGGGTAATTTGTCCTCGATAACCAGGATCAACGGCTAAATTCCTAAAAATTTCAGCTGCAGTAGTTTCTAGAGATGAGAGATTAGATCTGTTGTTATAGGCTTAATTTTTACTAGTGGTCAACTGATATGGGTTTTTAAGTGGCCGATATGTAGAGAGAAGGGAGACCGATATACACCGATCAGCCATAATATTATGACCACCTGTAACATTTAGAAAAGGAGTATGGAGTATGAGAGTTATAGTACAGGGGCAATTCATGCACAGCCTTTAAAATATAGGTGGTTGGAAAAATAATAAAAAATAATTTACTAGTTGCTTTCAGAACAGCTTTGCTTCCTTTAATCTTACTGACGTGCTTGTGACGTGTTTGTGACTGATGTCAGACTGTTCTTGTTGAACAAGACTTTCTCTAGTGGTTGGGAGGACGAATACAATTTTAAGCTGCGTGCTTCACCGATGTTTCCAACTTTGACTTAATTCTTGCGATCACGAAAGCGCTCTTGAATCTGGTCTTCTAAAATGGCCTCCTGTTTCCTGTAATGACTCCCATGAGACAAGTAGCTTTGCATGTCCATCAGCTTGGTATACAGCACCTAAACACACTGGGTTTAAAATTGTCCGTGGGTCTGCCGGCATAAACCTGTCCGTTTCAAGGTTTAAAGGTCTCAATAACAACACAACACACAATGTTAAGCAGATTTGGATTAGTGGTACTATGTCTGTGCTAGTAAACCAACAAAAACATTAGTGTTTCAAGATCTGATCTGAAGTGTTCCTTGTTTAGTGGGCCTGGGTGATAGAAGCATGTAGTCAGACATTGAAGAGAAACCATGTTGATCCCTGACAAGCACCGATAATCCCAGGATGTGGTACAAACAGTTTATGCTTCAGCTGGTTCATATAATTGTTCCCTCTGATGTGAAGCCAAACAGGCCATGTGAATATCTTTAATGAATACAGTACAGCGCACAGCAGAGCAAGACTTTAGAGTGCCAGCTGCAAATTTGTCATCACACTCAGTTAGCTTCTGAACATATACCAAGACCCTTAAAACAGACAGATAAGCATAAGAAAATGCTTGGTTGTTTTGTTGGTCTTTCTACAATGTTTTCTGGATTATGAATAGAAAGTGCTCACGTTACGTAGATGCAGAACATACAGTATGCTCATGTCGGTGTTCAGGTGGCTGTGGGGTCATTTCAAATGTTTGATCATTCAGTCTTTTGGCATCAGTTCTCTCTGGTCAGCTTTGTATGTCAGAGTCCGTAAAGTTCAGCCAACCCCAGTAGCTGTTTCTATTTTTAAACTTACCATAGAGCAAATCTGATATGTCTCTCTTATCCACGACTAAGGACACTGAGATATAGTTTAATTTTAGTTAATTACCAAAACTTTATTAAAACTAGTCCCAGACAGGAAAAACACAGATACTTTCAGCAATTTGTTGGTAACAGCAGTGTCGTAATTGTTAGAAACATATTACAGATTATTGAAATCTAATATAACATCTTAACATCCGTGTTTTATTACTCAGGAAATTGTAAATGATTATATAGAAGAAGATAAGATAAGAAAATGCGGTTAACGAGTATACATATTTTAATCTCTGATTTATGCTTGCAAAAATATGAAAAATGGCAATAAATGCCAACTGCAAGTTAAAATAACAAAGCTGTATACATTCTCATTTCTTTGAACTGTGTAAAGGGCAGTAACAAGATAACATTCCTCAGTTAGAGCAGTGCAATGGATATTACTGACTATAGGACAGATAACAGATAAGATTGCAGAAAACTTCCTAAATGCAATTAATAGTATACTTCTCAACAGAAAGTGTCTTTGAGCAAGACACTGAATTACTGCCAACTGCCAGAGTTGATGCTCAGTATTTAACTTTGACCCGTCAGTGTGTAAAACAAGACTTTAGTATTACAAAATCAGATGCAACGTTCTCAGAAATGCTCTGTACAAGCCACTGTCCCAATCGTGTCCTACGTGATGGTCCTCTCTTGTCCACGCTGAAGGTTACTAAGGCAAAGGTTGCTGGCCTTGGACAAAAGACATTGTTGAATCAAAACCACATTGCTGCAGGATCTTGGCAGGCCAGTGGGCTGAGGTGCACCATGTCACATAATCACTACAGCATGACCTTATCGTGTGTCATACCCTCACTCTCCACATTATCTTAACTGTTTCTCTAATTCATGTACTGAGCACACCATAAAACTTATCTAGAGGAATGTATACATGCATGTAAACGTGTTGGAGTGCCTGGTGAGTTTTATCTCCGAGAAGCTCCGATAACCGATGGCTGAGATAAAGCTGGACTCGGACCTTGAACTTGAAAACATAATGTGATAATAAACTTATTTTTACTGGACACTTTTTAAAAGAGTGAGCAGCAGCAGGGTGTGACGGTAAACGTTAAACATAGGTTTCATCAAGCAGATCGTACAGATATCACGTGTGTGTGTGTGTGTGTGTGTGTGTGTGTGTGTGTGTGTGTGTGTGTGTGTGTGTGTGTGTGTGTGTGTGTGTGTGTGTGTGTGTGTGTGTGTGTGTGTGTGTGTGTGTGTAAAGTGACCGTTGTTTTTGTTTTGTTCTTGTTTTGATTAATAAATCACTCGTACAAGCGAACACGTAAATCTGCAGACTAATCATGAGCAGAGCTGTGGGCAAAGAAAATGATAAGCCAGATTTATAGCAGAGGGCTAAAAATACGTCTGGCTAGTCAACAAAGGCCAGATTCACTCTTGGTACTGTGAGCTATTGTCATTATCTCCTGTTTACTGTTTTATCTTCTCTTTCAGGTGCTGAGTAATGCACGCCTCTTCTTGGAGAACATTATAAAGTGAGTATGGACCTACACAGACAATATGATGTATATACACAAGCAGCTGGTGTATAACCATTCGATTATACAACTGGCAATCTTTCTCCTCACCATCACTCCCTATTTTATTACATTCATTTGTTGCTTTTGTCTGAACTCAATAAGAACAGCAGCTAAATATCATCAAAGTGAGATGAACTGTTCTCTCATCTAGGTATGGTATCTTGGTGGACCCCATCCAAGTAGTGTCTCTCTTCTTGAAGGACCCCTATAGCTGGCCATCCGCTTGCCTCATCATTGGTATGGAGCTTTTGTTTTACAGCCTCAATGTCGTCTAAACAGATGGTGAATGATTTACAGGCACTTGTCCTTCTGTGACCTTAGGAGTGATGCTCTAGTTGAACTTAGCGAACACGTGCTGCAGCTGTATTTCCTGTGCTTGAATCAGGAAACATTAGTTTCTGTCACGGTAACATGAAGTGTTATTGTTGATTGTAATAAAATGTGTTTTACAGCCTGCCCATGTCCCAAATGGCTGATCTGATACAGCATGAGATGATTTAATGAGCCAGATGTTCAAAGTTAGCAAATAGGAACATTGTTAGCACGGGTTCCTGTGTTAAATATTTTTTATTTACCCAAAGAAGGTTGACTGGTGACATTGTTTTCTTCACGGCAATAACCGGCTTTATCAATCTCATAAAACAAGTCAGTGTTAATGTGAATGAACATCGTTGTCCTCAGCAGGCTCTGACCTACAGGGTAAAACAACATTAGAACAATTAATCTAAATATAATGCTACTATTGAGATAACAACCTGGTCTGGAGTAATAAAATATAGTCGGCCTACCATGATTCACATCTATGTGTTTCTGTAACTAATGAACCTGTTTGTCTCTCCTGTGTTTCAGCATCTAATGTGTTCATCTTAGCAGCCTTGTACACAGAGAGGCGTCTGGCTGTGGTGAGTACTTACAATGACATACGATACATTTTCATAGATGACACTATTGTAATAAATAATTCTATTTGCTTTTGTTCTTTTAAAGCTTTTGCTGATAGATTACTATAAACCTTCGACTCCACCTTTGTTTGGAAGGGTGCAGTTAAAATTTTGTTTAGGGATTTTGTCAATATTATTGCTGTACGGTGAACCGTGAAAAGTGCGTTTGAATTTATAATTCAGGATGCAGGGATCAAGGATGTTTGCCTAAACAGGTGCTTTACACATCCTGGAGTCACCACAGTCTGCCCTCTTTATACCTGCTCTTAACTCTGATAAGAGTACCACCCTGGTTCAGATTAGATTACATAAAATGTAAAACACTGACAAATGCAATGTAATATTTGTGAAAAGCACAGTGAAAAAGCTATGTTTCTCTGGTTAAAGGAACAAATAATAAAAGCGTATTTATAGTCTCAGATCAAGTGTTTTACAGTAAGAAAACTTTTTCTTACTGTACCGTTTTTCTTTCATTGTTTCTAGGGTACCATTTCCAAAATGACAGGACTGATTCTTCACATTTTTAACCTGACATCCCTGTTGATCTTTCCTTCAGCCACTGTGCTCACTTTGACCTCCATGACCCCAGGTACATACTTAATGCTAAGTGCTATATTTATGAGGCAAAAATGTATGCGTGTGTGTATTTTGATGCTAGCACAAAAATGGGCTGCACCAGAAATTACTATTTTTAATTTAGTTTAGTTCTAATATCTGTACACCCATAGTGTTCCTTCCATTTGTCATTTATTGCTCTCAGTCACTGTGTGTGTGTGTGTGTGTGTGTGTGTGTGTGTGTGTGTGTGTGTGTGTGTGTGTGTGTGTGTGTGTGTGTGTGTGTGTGTGTGTGTGTGTGTGTGTCAGTGGGTGGTGTGCTCTCCCTAGGAGTCTACACAGTGCTGTTTCTCAAGCTGTATTCCTACCAAGACACCAACAGGTGGTGTAGAGAAATCAGACAGGCAAAAGCCAAGAAACTAACACGATCATACTCATGTAAGTATATCAATACACAGTGTTATCTAGATTCTGAGTAGGCACACACACACACGTAGGATACAGTACAAGGGCAGAGGTATGAGGCGCCCTCGAACAGAGTCAACTGATCAGAGTGAGCCTAACTTGGCTAAATATATAATTGAAAACTGGATTTAAACATATAACTGTCAGTGCACATTTAACATAGTTATACTGCGTTTATTTATTACTGTGCTTCTACTGCCATCTAGTGGTGACAAGACAAACTGAAGCTGACAGAGAGAGTTGTGTGTCTTGAACAGCTGTGTTTTGAAGCTAGTTTAATCCTAAATGCAGCCTGATGACTTTATCTCTTCACTGTAGGAACTGAGATAAACAGACGACACACAGAGAAATCTTATAAGGGATTATAGATATTTTTAATGAAATTTGGTGAGTTGTTGAAGGAAATGAGCTTGTGAGACTGAAAGTGCCAATTAATTACCAGCTCCATTTTTTTTGTGTGTTTTTCAGGCCCCTCTGTGGCACAATCCAACGGGTCAGCAGTTCATACTTATGTCTCCTACCCAGGCAACCTCACCCACAGAGGTAGACATGATACCTGCATGGAGATAAACGGCACAGTTTTTAAATGAAACATTTCTGTGATAATCATAAATTCATGTATTTCTAATTTGTTTGTGTTCAGACATGTACTACTTCGTCTTTGCCCCAACTCTCTGCTACCAGCTCAACTTCCCGCGATCGCCTCGAATACGCAAAAGGTTCCTGATAAGAAGACTTTTTGAGATGGTGAGAGGGAACGCACACACACATATTGTATGGGTTAACTGAGATGGTGGAAAATGAACCACAAACAGGAACAGACATGCATATTAACATTTTTTGATTTTCACTTGATCTCTTCTTGTAGCTTTTCTTCATGCAGCTGTTGGTGGGATTGATACAGCAGGTGTGTTCAACATTAACATGACTTAAATCACACAGAAGAGCATTCAGGATGTACTCTGCACACACACATTGAAACACAAAGTTCAATAGAAAGTCATTCATCATAGAAATATTTCTCTATTTCACCACTAAAATGATGCAAACTAATGCAATTTTCATCCGTCTTCCAGTGGATGGTTCCCACCATACAAAACTCAATGAAACCATTCCAGGTGCGTACACACACACACACACACACACACACATATAATTTATTTTGCCTTTCATGAAATGTGCCTTAAGAAAAACCTCTGCCCTAAAACTAAATTTACATAGAGCTCTAGGTAGGGCCTTTCATGTTTTTCACGACCACCGTAGTTTCTCTTACACACTTGATAGGATGAGCTATATTCTAATGGTTCCAGCCTTCACTGCTAACCCTTGTGAGGCAGCTGGACTTTCTTTATGAAATCACAAGATCATGCAAGAATCCATCTTGCCAGGCTTCAATCTATATGTTTGTGGTCGGTACAGTGATACCAGACCAATCAGCAACCTTTTAGGAACCACTAGCAGGTGGGACTACAAGGGGTGGGCAGTTATGTCAGATCATTGAAAGAAGAGCGAAGAACGGCACTGAAGGCTTTTCTCAATGGAGAAGATATTTTCTCCCAACTGGCATCAGCAAGTGTTTGACTATAGTATGGTTCACTGATCTGATTGGTTGAGGTTCGCCCATGATAGACGGTGATCCAGTCAACACTGTCTATAGCTACTGTATATGAACATAAATGGCTCTCAGGAGAGCAGAAAGCAAGGGATCATAGACTATAACTGGTTTTCTCTTAAAGGCAAAATATTGAAAATGAAACTGTTTGTTTTTCACAGGAAATGGACTTCTCTAGGATGGTGGAGCGCCTCCTAAAATTAGCTGTGAGTATCAGGACATACTGTACTTACACTGGATGCATAAATATGTCTTGTCATAACCTTTATAATTGGGGGGAAAAAAAACACCACTTTTAACACTTACATGGTTGTGATGACTGTCTCATGAGAGGAGGTTGCAACATGGCAACCATATTGTACGCATACCAACCTAGATACCTTTCTTTCCTAATGTCCTCTCCTCTCCTCTCCTCTCCTCTCCTCCACCTCTCCCTCTCCTCTCCTCTCCTCTCCTCTCCATCTCCCTCTCCCCCACCTCTGCTCCCAGGTCCCTAACCATCTGATATGGTTAATATTCTTCTATTGGTTTTTTCACTCTTCTATGAATTTTGTGGCAGAGCTGCTGCAGTTTGGAGACCGAGAGTTCTACAAAGACTGGTGGTGAGTAGAAGATACGTTCAATCAAACACGATGCATAAGCAGACGGGAATAAAAGCATACTGTATGCAAATATATTTTGTTTATTTCAGGAACTCTGAAACTGTCACATATTTCTGGGCAAACTGGAATATCCCAGTTCACAAGTGGTGCCTGAGGTGAGCACCAACATCTCTGTAATTGGGTTTTTTCAACACTGATTCTCTGTTTGATGTTTTAGCTTCACATTCTCATCGTAGTCTGTATAAAAATAAATACAATGCCAAGTACAATAATAAAGAAATCCATGTGCGGAATGCCATTATTAGTCAGATTGTCAGATGTAAGAGTTAAAGATAAGTAATTAGTGTGTGTGTGTGTGTGTGTGTGTGTGTGTGTGTGTGTGTGTGTGTGTGTGTGTGTGTGTGTGTGTGTGTGTGTGTGTGTGTGTGTGTCTCAGACATTTCTATAAGCCGATGTTGAAGAAGGGGATCAACAAGTTTCTGGCTCAAACCGCCGTTTTCCTTATGTCTGCCTTCTTCCACGAGGTAAACCAACAGCATTCTTTCTATGTGACACAAAACACTACTAAAGTTTACACATCTGCTAATTCAACCTCAAACAGCTGTAAGTTTTACTTTTTATATCTATACATAAAATGAAAATGCCTGTTGTGGACAGTTGTTTTATTTACATACAGCAATTCATAATGTAAAATTACTAGGACTATATTACGCTACAATATGCAATACAAACAATTCGAAACTATTTGAAACACTATGAAACTGTGAGGTGCTGGCTCGCAATTAGAAATCTAAATAAGTCGAGATGTGCTGGAACATTGATTCCTGAATTTAAAAATAAAAAAGATTGTATCTAAGTTATGAATGTGCAGCTTTTCCCTCTTTTATATTCACACATTATGAATACATGAAAACTGTTCTGTGTCTGATTTATTGTACTTGCTCTTCAGTACCTGGTGAGTGTCCCTCTGAAGATGTTCAGACTGTGGGCCTTCATGGGAATGATGGCTCAGGTAAGAGCCATTGAACTGTCCACCTCTTTCACTCTCCCCAATCACAGACCTTGTAGACAAACACACTTTGACCTCTGAACTCTCAACTCCTCAGGTTCCTCTGGCGTGGTTTGTGGGTCGTTTCCTGAATGGAAACTATGGCAACGCCGCTGTGTGGATCTCACTCATCATTGGCCAGCCTGTCGCTGTGTTGATGTATGTCCATGACTACTATGTCATTCATTATGGGGGAACTACATAGTACTGTACGAACACACACATGCTCACACTGTCACACACGTAAACATGTGCAAGTCATATTGTACACACACACACACACACACACACATTCACTCAGTGAGTGAATGCAGAGCAAGTTAAGGTGACTATAACAGGAAGCCCTGCTAATATGAACCTGTCAGTAAAAGCAGGAAATTTGTTTTTGACCTCTTGATTTTTGCACTAAAGAGAAATAAACCAGTGTGTCAGGAACTAATTCTAACAACCTGAGAAGTGCTTGGTTTATTGCGATATTCCACTTTAGTAGGACAAACACACCTTTTGTTGTCAGCCTTCAGTATCAGCAAACCTTGGAATCCGCAGTCTCCGCCCGCTCTTAATGTCTTTATCTAAGCATCGGACGTTTCAACTTTAAACAAATGATCCTGGACACAAAATAAAATAGAACTGGAATATCTGTTATTGGAATTGATCCGTCCCTGATAGATTTATGTGAAGCAGAGTTTGCTAAAACAAAAGTAAATGTGTGGTGCTAAGGTTTCCTGGAGTGGCTGGTACTGCTGGTCGATTCCTTAGGTACACGTACACTAGAGTGAAAACCCTTCTGTGTGACTTTTTAACAACAATTTCTTGAACTTTAAAAAGCAGCCTTTCAATGCAATGGAAAGTGGAAACTTTACTGTTTGTAACCAGGCACTCCTCAAGTTGTGAGAAGTACGCACACCTTCCTGTGCAACAAAGCCAGGACAGGATCCTGCCTCCATAGAGCCAATATGAAAATGTTGTTTCTATCAATCTTTTTACTTGTATCCAAAGGCAACAGAGAAATTATGACACCAGATAAACTGTTTGTTTCTACAAGCTAAGGCTCAAAACTTCCAAATGCCAATTTAGGAGTCTCCAAATTGACAACAGTACCAGTTTTATACATGTATTCTGTGTGTATATATATATATATATCATATATGCCTCTCTTTTTGATGCAATGAAGTTCTTGAGTATTACAGAAATTTATAATAAACAGATTTGTAACAAAACTGGTCAAACCCCCGGACACTGAACACAGAGGAGAAATGGTTAAAGGACATTTTTGTGACGTTATTTGTAGTCGCTGACCTTCAGGCAGCCTCCCCTCTTCTGTTTCTCAACTACCAACAACATCAATATGAGCTCTTAGTGTAACAGTACAAGCTAAAGGTGTGTTGTTTGCCTTGGCTTCATTGTCCTTTTTTGTGTGTGTTGCATTTGACTTATCAGATGGTTTATTTTATACTTTGTATAATTGTATGTGTTTACGACTGTCTGCACTTACGCTGTGCCATCTTGAAATTATAATTTATGTCGTATTTTATTTGAAATCAATGATTTACTGCAGTATTTGATTTTGCCGATTTGAACCAATGAATGTTTATTTGCACTTTAAAGAGATGCATGCTGTTGACTTAAGCAATATATTTCTATGAATGTATTCTTTAAGTTATCTTAATCATGTAAGGAAAATATTTTTGTTGTATTTGTTGTCGTATGAGGTTGGATCAACTTCAGTTTGTTTCAGCTGCAGTGGTAATAAGTGTTTAAGTATTTAAAACCTAAAGACTTGATTTGAACGTTATAAGAACCTGACACAGTTTTCAGTAAGGATATTTCCCTATAATAGTTGATATGGAAATATGTTATTTTACTTTTATATGTTTTAATCTGTTTTCCAATGAACATGTTAAATCGGAGCCTTTAACTCTAAGATTAGTCTTTTTTCTTTCCCTATTGATCACATTTCTAAAACACTATTGTTAAATCATAACAGCAGTAATCAATCATGTGTTGACATTCCTTATTGAAATTTACAAGTGCCTGCAGGAAAAATAATTTTATGCAGAAAAGACACAAGATTCAACCAAATACTAATAAAAGACACAAATGTCGTTCACTCTATTCTATGTGGCCAATAGATTAACAGTGCATTTATATTTGTGGTGTCTTTAAATATTTGGGAACTTAAGACTAATATTCAATGCAGTCATTTTTGTTTTCTTAAACAAAAGAAATGTTATTTTGAGGGACAGCCTTATGCAAGAGTCGTACATAAATCTTATCACGTTATCGGTATTTCTGTGCACAAATGGCAGCTTTAGTAACAGCCTGACTTTTATCAACAAATATGAACCAGTTTATAAGCTCTGAGTTCATTAAATTTGTTCAATCACTTATTTTTTATTACATTGGAAGATTCTTTCTGAAGTAGCAGATGTAGCAAACTGAGCTGCCGTTTGGAAGACTAAAAACAATAAAATGAAATACATCAGTCAGTGTCAGAAAATGCTGGCAACATTTAATAGTAAATAAACTCAGAATAATGAAACCCTGCAAACGAACTTATAAAATGTATTATTTTTCCCCATTTGTATAAGTACTGAATTAAGTTCACTTTTAATTTTTGTTTTGTTTTTATGAGAATTCTTGAAAATGGAAAGTATGAAGTGACCCCTGAGGTAGTGTCAACATTACGTTGCGTGTCCCAGGTAATATTTTCGTTTTCACCTGAAGCCCAGAACTCCCTGCTTCCACGTCATTACTGCACTGCTCTCGAGATATTAGTTGAAGATGCAGCTTTAAGTTGAACCGTCTTTCAAGAGTTAATTTTGTTTGTGGATGATTGTGTGACGCAACATGTAGTAAAACGAATGTATTACTGATCTGTTCATACTGTATACAGAAATCCAAAGTGAAACAAAGAGTATATGTTTTGGAATGCAAATAATTTTCATAGCCTTTCACTTGAAATTATTTGTGTTGTTTGATAAAGATTATATATATTTGATGAATGGACTCGTCTATTTTTCTTCTAGTAACAGGTAACAGTGGAGTATCCTGAATTTCCTGGTTATTTATATGTAAGATTGCTACTGTACAACGTGGTTTTCTAGACACATACGTCTTTAAACAACTACAATATCCATTGAAAACTGCAAGGACAGATGAGTCCATAAAAATCTTTATTGTGAGAGACGGCACTCAAAACTTATAGTTCCAAAATGACAATATAATAATACAAAGTTGTTGTTTTTTTTAAAGTTGATGATACGTCCGCAAACAAAAAAAAATCTTACAACTAAACTCCACATCAGGTTTGGGGGAACAGTGCATGTTGAGGATTTCTACTGCTGCAAGAAACAAACACACAAACAGGAGTGTGAGACACGTTATGTGCAGCGTATGACCAAGTGAATACACAGTTGTTTATGTGTGGAGGTGTGTGTGTTTCACCTTGGCTTTCTGGTTCTGGACAGGCAGGTAGAGTTTAAACTCTGCTGGGAGCTCATCCTCAGAGTACAGTCTGTCTGAGAAATACACTCTCCTTATCCGACAGTTCGCATGGATCTGAGAGGGAAACAGCGGGGTCGGACATTAGCAAGAGAAAGAGATGTCACAACAAGTGCAGGGGGCATTTGCAGACAGCTGGTTCCGAGTCCGTCTCTGTACACTAACCTGTACTCGCAGCGTCTCAATGTAATTGGTTCCATAGGCCCTCCTGGTGAAGTCCGACAGGTTGAACTGAATCTGGTTCCAGCCATCATCCAGCCTCATGGGCATAGTGCAGATAAACGGCTTCACTCGTGTCGTGCTTTGGTAGTTACTCGCCCGAAACCGCCGGCGAACGTTTTTATCATCTAACACCTGAAAGTTGTAAAGACGGAGAGAAAGCGTGAGTGACAGTGATTCCTGACACTGCAAGGAAGAAACACAGATATCGTAAGTTGTGTGCATGTATACGCGAGTACACGTTTGTTGATGCTGCCAAGACCTGAGGCCTGTACTACGAGGGGAGTTAAAGCTACTCAGATTTAACATGCTGGCTTTTTTCTTTGCATATTAAAAAGTATTTTTATATTGTGAAATACCTGCGATCACATAAAAGGCCTCTGTGATCTTCAGAACGATTCAATTACCAGGAATCATAACAAATGCATTATTCTCCATAGGATTGTGGGCAGAGGAGAGGTGGTTGATAGGGTAACATGGAGATAACCTGCTCGGAGCAGTTTAGAGGACATTACCATGACAGCATAAGTCTGGTTTAACCTATCCACCTTTTATAGTACGAGTTAATCAGGAAGCTACACCTGATGTCACAGAGTTACTCCTGAAGTTACCTGGATAAGCCAGTTACCTCGCTTCATAGTACAGCCCTCTGGAAGGGGTCAGCATCTACAGGACTGTCTACCCTACCTGGACTTCAAAGGTGAAATACTTCTTGAGGTTCTTGATGATCATAACGAGAAAAGGGAGCTTGATGCCCAAGGTCTTCTTGGGGTCTGCCGGACATGTTATATACGTGGTACTGCAGGGAGTAGAAGAAATAAAAAAAAGACATGGGAGGGGTGGATGAGGGTGACTGGTGCATGAATGAGCTGACCAGAGCTGAAGAATCCATTAAACAGCTACAAACTCACCTGACGTTTGTCCCCTCGACCTCCAGCACCAGCGAGTGGATGTCGTTGTCTGTGATTCTCTTGATGTGACCATTCCTCACCTGTAAACACACATAAATATTATTTGTCTTGAGGTTTATGGAGATATCGAGCTGGCAAAGGAGCACTGTCACAGTCATATGTTATATACTGTACAGGTATTAGTTTATGGCTGATATATCTGCATTTATAAGTGTCTAAGATATTGAGGTCATTTAGAAAACAGTGTCCTCTTTACATAGATTACCAACCTGAGAATTGTTTTTATCTTTCAGCTGTAAAATGTCCTGTTATCTTGGTCTCTATAACGCACATTTAGGGGATCCTATTCACTTTTACTGTTTCTGTTATTGTCTTTTTGTGACCATGTAAAGTGCTTTTGAGTGCCTTTAAGCACTATATAGAATAAATCTATTACTATTCATGTAATCTCTTAAGATCCTGTATCAGTCGGGCAGTGGTTCAGATGCTGATGTGGGAGCAGTCAGTGAATGTTGTCATTGACATTTTAATACATCTTGTGTGTCTTAAACACCCAATATCCTCCACTGTTATTATTCATACCTGTTGCTTAGCAACAACAACACATTAGCAGCATCAATCGGTGATACAAATGGCCATATTTCATTATCCACAAGTGCCCTAAATTCCATCCAGATCAATATTGGTGCTTTAAATCACTACTGGCAACTGGGTTTTAGTTTCATCAAACATCAACAATGGCATACAGTGGAATAACATCGACAAATATCAGCTGGGAGGAGAACTTCTGAGTAATGACTTTATCTTTACTTTTGTTCTTTACTGGAGCTGATCACCACATTGATCCTGTGTGCGTCATAGGTTTAACCAGCTGCCTATAGCTACAACACAGAGTCAGTCAGCTGTTTGAACACTGCATTCAAACCACGCCACAAGAGATCAGCTACAGTTTCAATACCAACTAAATAAACAAGTGTTTAGAACCACACACACACACACACACACACACACACACACACACACACACACACACACACACACACACACACACACACATAATGGTAACGTAGTTAGCTGTAGCACGACGAGCTAAGGAAGCTAGATTATAGCATTGATTCTGAATCGCTGCTTACCTTTTTATCCCATATCTGAAGAGGTTTGCTGCCGATGCTGTATAAAATAGACAGGAATCCGCTTTGGAATGTGTTTTTAAACATCTTCTTTGAGCCTAGCTAGTCCACAGTCGTTTCCCCACTTGTGTTTAAGTCCACTAACTCAAACTGTTGCTAACGTGCGTTGCGTTTGTTTACAGGTTTGGTTTCCGTTCCCAACGCTACCGCTTTCCGTGTGTACAAAATAACCCGTTCCGCTGTCACAAATTAAAGCGTTAGAGTTAAATTAAAAAATCCAATTTGTAATGTCATTATGGTAATTCAACACGTCTCTCCTCGGGACGCGTAGAAAGAAACAAAACGCCTAAAAAGATTAGCTAGTGGCCCCCTCTTCATTATTTTGGTGTTGCTAGGGAACAGAATCTCCTGGCGTTGTTCACGTCGGATCTTAAATGGTGACGCATATCGGTCGCCGTGGCAACAAAATGCTTGACCAACGTACTCTGTTTTATAATTCAATATATTTTAATTATATTTCTATTTATATTAAGTTAGAACATAATGTAAATTGTGAATTAGTGTTTGGTGGTATAGACTAAATTAATCATAATTATTCTATTTTTTTTATTAAGCTATTTGTACTAAAGTAAATGTACTTTACTCAAAATGTAAAATAATCAAGTTGATTTTTTTATCTAATTTCCTAAATATCCTACAAGTTGTTTCTGGTGTTATTTTATATGAGTTCACTCTTTATCTTCAATATTATAATATTATAAAGTCTTTTTTGTGGACTAACTGAAATATTGAAGATACATCAGCTTACTTTATCTTTGATGTAAAGGCATTAAAAGAAAACGACACAGTTTAAATGATTAAATCCTTTCTTCAGTCTGGACGCTCTGTAAATGCATTCCTGTCAATATGGTCATTCTGCAGTGGCTACAGCAGTGCTACACTAGAATTGGCAATTATAATAACACCAGTCATACCCACGAAAGGCATTAGACCACTAATTTTAAAGGCTGTACAGAACGTCCCATGCATTAGTTAATTTCCTTTTAGATGTTAAATTGTTCGGGCGCCCTTTTAATTCCCAAATGCAATAATAGCGGCAGTCTCTAGAAATAGACTTCCTACACACAACTATATATCAGAACTCCTTTCACCCACTAAATCCCACTAAAGTGTCAAGTAGGACATCCTTCCTCTCTGTCTCCAGCACTTTAAACAAGCCGGACCAGGATAGATCCGACAAAGGTTTCAAATATTTGAACAAGCCAAGAAACATTCAATCAAACATTAGCCAGGCACTTTTAGATGACATCACCAGCAACGCAAACATAGATCAAAAGTCTGTTATTAGTTTTATATGAAGTGAAGATGAATTAATTCACCAGTATTCAGGCTAGGTCTGTGCTACGGCAGCTTGTTTGACATTTTTACACACACACACACACACACACACACACACACACGCACCTGGACATACACTAACACACACACACACACACACACACACACACATCGGAATGGCGGCCACCTTTGTTTATATCACTGTGGTTTATGAGGTGCTGCTTCACTCCAAATGGTATATCTCTGTAAAAATAAATGTAAAAGATATACATGTGCTCTTTCTTTCTCTCTCTGTTCCTAGATGTATGTGTGTGTGTGTGTGTGTGTGTGTGTGTGTGTGTAAATTTGACAAATCTGGTTCACAGACTGGCAGCGTTGTAAAAACATCTACAGAAACAGTTTATATTTCTTTGTCTGTGTCTCTCTATTATTTCCCCCCCTCTCTTCTCTAATTGAGTCAGGTATTTACACAGAGACTAACAGAGGTGGAAAAGCACATATATTTTTTCCCCTTCAGACCCTTTCTGTGTGGGACCACCCCGGAGACACCTTTAAATAAACTTTATTGAAAACCTACTTGAATGAAATTGTCCATTCTGGTCTCTGGCTCTTTTTGCATATTTATTCTGACTATTTTTCCCTGCTAGTCCCTTACTCAACTGTTATTTCAGATAATCTTATTCCCAATTCAACCAGCACCCACCTTCCATGTATATAATACCTCTCTGATAGTTTATGAGCTCCAGTTGTTCCAGTTTTTCTGTTTCTTGTCTGACTTTCTGGACACTAAGCCCTATAATGCCCATGTTTTGACTTGCTTACCTGTTGCCAACCTTTGCCTGCCTAAAAAACCAAATAAATTTAGCTTTTAACTTCTCTGCCTTGTTTTGGAGTCATGC